TTGCTACAAACTGTGGTGATATGAAAGCAATTTATTAATTAATGCAGCATAAGCGATCGGTTGCCATGCTCTACTAGCCGTAAGCCATGTAAAAATCTTGCAACACCCACAGTAATGTATTTTTGAATTTTTCCTGTTGACGACAGTTATGAGAAACAACAACATATGTTTATTTATGTGTGCTGTCATTAGGGTGGTGCAGCGCAAATCTTTTCTGCATTTACATTTTCTCGACTCGCTTTTTATGAGCCTCGCGCAGGTCTCTACATTGAAAAGCGCTGAAGACGCTGACAAATTTTCCTTAACCGATGCAAAATTAAAAAAAAATATTAATTAAATATTTTTTGCTCCATAATTCATGGCCCCATAAAATTTAAAAAGAAATAAAATATTTACTTTCGGACCACCCTAATTTTTATATATGTATGTACATATTCTCATATGAGAGTAACCCAATAAATTTCTCGTGCTAATTAAAAATTACGTTCACATTAGCGATAAAATAAATTATCTCCGCGAAAATTGGGGTAATGGAAATTGATTTAGTTGTCGTTCATTTGGAAGAGTGTTGCTTATGCATTTTTGTTGATTACAGTATTGTATATAAGTTTGTGACTGATTTTTCTAAAATACATACAGATATTTTTGCTGTTCCATATGGACGTGAATAATGAGCGACTTATAGTGTCTGGTCTTTTTTTCGGCGAAAGAGAGAATTATCTTTTAATCGTCCACTGTGTCCAAGGTAAATCTTACCATGATTTGAAGTTGTAAAAAACCTGTTGACACACACATTTGAGATGCCTACTACACTAGAGTCAAGATATTGACGATCATCTAGCGATATTCATAATCATTTCACTTAGTCGTGTGAGATTTTCGGGTATAAGGAATTCCGCAGCGACGAGGCAGAAGCGGTAGTAGAAACAGGTTCCTAGATTTAATGAGTAGTAATGTCTCATACATAGATGATTTATTAGGTACCGCTGGGTATAGGCATATTCACATAGTTCGATTACTAAAACACGAGTGCCCCGCATCAAACACGCTTGGGCCTGTTGGTCTAAGGAGGTTTCATAGAGGAGATCCCTCCCAACTTTCTAGTTTCTGAAACCACTAGGTTTGTTTTTATGAAGCAAACGAGATTTTTGACACTTACTGGCGCCATATCTGCAATTCAGTTAAAGTAGAAATTAATTAGGAAACGTTGTAGGGCAGCCGTTGCGACGTTATAGTGGCAGAGGTAGTGTTCTACCGTCTTATATCGTTAGCGAAGCAGCCCTGCCTCCTACCACCTACCTCCCCAACAAACAGCGTCCGGTACTTACACCGGTGTTATGCTCGTGGAATTTCTGTTTAGCAAGAGTAGAGACTTAGACTTCTTATATCGATCAAATACCAGTTCTGCCTCTTCACATTGCATGTAGCGTAGCAGCTATTTTGATGTGGAAAGAGGTATGTATTGTAACCTTTCTTGTCGGCTTGTCGATCTTCCGATTTCCTGGGATATCATTATTTTTTAGGATCCAGGTTGTTGTAGGTTGTTTCGCATCCAACTGAGAGCTGTTTTTTTAGGATTTTCCATCTTTGAGGTGGTGTGATTACGAAGAAGAGATCTACAGGCAGCTTGGCTGTCAAAATATATTGTGATAGGCTAATAACTTGTAATACCGTTAAGTCTTGTCATGTCATGACCAGCACTTCCGAGTGCATTCTGCAGCCCAAACTGTTTTATTTTTCGTCAGTGGAGATGGATCTTTGTTCAAGAACTGTAACGTTTCCCTATTCATTCCTCTATGGGATTTTTATTGAGAGAATTTTGTCAGGAGAGAAAACAGAATTGGAATTGGAAAATGGTGTAAATCTAAGTATTCGGACGTCCCTCGTGCGGCTTCTCCAAGACTATATAGCATTTAACCTTACGGCGTTGCAGCTTGCTTGTAATTTCCAATACAGGTCTGTAGGCAGAATATTAAAAAGAAACGCTTTCGTAGAGCTGTGTTACTATTATGAGTATGTTAGGTTGTCCACTGAATTTAGTCGAGTACGAAGCATTGCTTGGAACAGGTCATCAGAAGGTGACCTCGTAGTGACATTTTTATTAAATTTTTTGGAAATTCTTAAACAAACAAATACGAATTGTTATTGCTTAACAGTATCAAATAAAGTGAAAGTAAATTTTTTTGCAAGATTTGTGTATCTATGACCTATTTCAAAAGTACTTGAAACATTTCATACGTAAGGCAACCTAAAACACTGTGCCGAATATCATGCAATTTTCAGCGTTCTAAACCAGGCTCGCCCCTTAAGTTTTTAAGAGAAGTTTTAAGCTTTTTCAGCATTCTCATCAAATATGCAAAATGAAGTCATGTTACAAAAAATTTAAAAATAATTCTTTTACGAAAGCAATTAAAATGCCAAATTAATAAAGTTTGACAGAAAAAAAATTGTAATTAGAGAAGTGCAATTTTTGGAAAAATTAATTTAATTCATTTACATGCAACAAACAAGCATGAAAACACTTTCACTCTAGCAAGTATAGGCTTGTGTAGCAGCAGCCCTGTCGGGAAATGGTAGATAAGTCGCGAAAATTCTAGAAAAATATTACTAGCAGAATCCTTCCTGGAAGGCTTCGCTGTCGCACATACTCATTGAATGTATACAAACTGAAAAGTAAATAAATAATATAAATTTATTCACTAAATATTTGTGGGTAAACAACATTTTTGTTATTATATTCGGCCAAGCAAATAAAAAGGTTATCTGGCTGTCCAACCCTAGAACAGGCAACATACAATTGTCCACATTGTCCATGTGCCAAGCAATCTGTATCACAATCTCGACCTTACAATTACAGAGATTGACTTTGAGCCGTGTTGATAGTGATTGCAAACGTTAGTCGAGAGTGAGAGGGATTCATTATTTTAAAAGTATTTTCTCTCTATCACTGAGTTACTGTTGGGGATTACTGAATCTTTACAAACGAATATGGATTTATATCTTAATAAATGAAAATTAATGTTTGTTTGCAAGTGACGCTAAGCCTCGAGAACTGCAGAACCAAACTTGATAAAATTTTTTAAGGTTGTTCGTTGTGGTTCTGGGGAGGCTTAGAAATAAAAAAAATCTTACGGATCATTAATCTGCATACACTTCATAGAAGAAAGATGCTTGGAGTTTTATTTTTAATTAAATTGATAAGAGGTGTTATCGATAGCTCATTCCTACTTAGCGAGCTTAACTTTACCATAACTCTAAGATCATCTAGATACTAAAACCCCTTTCATTGGGCTCATGCAGAACAAACTTTGAATTGCACGACCCTTTTTAATACTCATTTCACCAACATTGATTCCTCTGACTCGCTTTTCTGCTTCAAAAACTACTTACTGAGTGCTTTAAATAATTAAACAAATTCCCTCTCTTTTCCCTCTTGCAGTTTTATAGCAGCTGATGAACAAATCTTTTGGCTGTTTAGCGTAAGAGTCAAAAGTAACCCCGACCTTCCGCGATCTGCTTCGGGTTCAGGGCAGTCCGGACTGTTGCTGTTTTTCGGTCACCGTTCTGTTAGATTTCTCGATTATTCCTCAGACGTGCCCCTCGGTCAGATAGGCGGGAGATGGGTAACGCTGGGTTCGTCATTAAATACCTCATTCCCATTGAAATTTATTTGTGTTACTTTTTCAGCTGATATGTAAATTATTTGAACCGTTTAGTTTCGGTTTTTTTCTTTCTTTATTTCGGCTATTCAAATTTTTGAAAATTATTCAGTGAAAACTTTAAGGCTGTTTTATGCAAAGTGATCCATTATAGATTGAAATTTGTTACGATGCCACGAAGAGGTAGCGCTAATATCGGTTAGTGTTCCCGAAGTACAACGGATCAAGGTCATTATACAGCACGCCGTTCGGAAGAAGAAAATGCTACCGTAAGGGAATCGCACTGATTTAACATCGTGCGCGACAATCACAAGAGGCTCACGAAGCTTACAATCAGCAACAACGATTGAAAAGACGACAAGTCCGCCCTCAGGAAATTAATGATTCAAGAGAACAGCGTTTGGCTGCTCAACGACAACGCGAGCAACAACAAAAATTGCCTCCTTCGAATATCAAACGTGAACCGGACCAAAATCTTCCACTGATAACGTCACCGTAGATCTGGTGATATCCTCAATCGCCGAAGACCTACGATTTACACAAGAAATGAATGCAAAAGAATTGGGCTTGAATGCAATGGCTGACTCAAAAACGGTCAGTCTAGCAACTTTAGTAAAGTTGTTACTGCTAACGAATCGTGATTCTAAAAGTACGATCCAGCAACCAAACAACAGTCCATGGTATGGAGTCCAACAGGACCAAACCAACCCGCAAAATCTAAGCAACAAAAATCAGCAGCAAAAGAAGAAGAGATGATAGTTTACCTCACCAGATCTAAAATCGTAGCTGCTATTCCACTGAAAAAAGGTCAGACGGTAACTGCGAAATGGTACACCGAAGAGTGCTTACCAAAAGTTTTCAAAAATTTGTTGGGGAAACAGGGAGAAAGAGGATTTGCGGCGCTACCTTATACACCATGAATAACGAGTAGTTTTATTGCGATCTCTGGGATCGAAGAATACATCCAGCACCATATTCCCCGGATGTTTCCAAACATTATAGAAATATTTAAAAGGAATGGTCTGTAATGGCAACGAGCAGATAATTAATATTAACCTCATCAGGTTCAGCCGAACTTGATAATCTTTAAAAAGCAAGATTTTGAAGACTTTTTTCAGAAGTGGATCGATATGAAGAGAATATAAAACAGAACACAGATTACGAATAAATGCTAAATTATTTATTTAAATTTATTTTTTTCTTTGTTTTTCCGATCAACTTACCGAACTTTTCTCAACTCCTTCGTACATACTTTGTAGAATATAAGAAAAGAATATTATAACTTCGGTAACTTAATTTCGATAACTTATTTTCTATATTTTGTTTTCCTTTTCTTTTTAGATACTCAACATTTCTTTTGCGTTTTACTGCTATCTTTAGACGAAATTTCGGTGAGTAAATTAACTTTTATACTTATTTATATGTAATATAATATAAAGAGCAGAAACAATACATATGAATAAACTGTCTGACTAAAAAACCAATCACTATAAGAATTTTTTCCAAAATAGTACTGATTTTGAGTGAGCAGGATATTCTGAACACCAGGGTTTGGGTCATGGTATGGGTCCCGGGTCACAGTAACTTACCGGGTAATGAGATGGTGGGCGAGGTTGCGAGAAAGTACACTTCCCTTTCTCTTTCACCGTCATGGAAGTGTTTGGGCATGCCGCTCTGCACTTGTAAGCTCCATATAAGAGAGTTATTCCCAAGAAATGCCAACTGAAGACGGAGAAGTCTCAAAACATATAATGCGGCCAGCACAATATAGCCAGAATAGAACAGTAGAAAGTGACGTGACTTTATTGAGCTGAAAATGAAGGATATGTCTACAGTTAAAAGTCTTCTTACAGGACATATCTTATTCGGCTTGCACGCAGAGATGATTTAAACAGCAGTACAGCAATAGGGACGGCAACCTTAGGAGACCTGAGCGAGATAGCGGGGGATACGATGTGGACTTTGTTCAGTTTTACAAACTCCACGAATTGGTTTAATAGGCAGGTGGAGATATTTGAGATTCTCAGTGGTATCACAATGAACCCGTCTGAGGGCTAGGTGTGCCAATGCCCGGCAGCCACTTTAACCAGCCAATTGCGGTCGCATCTCGGCAAAGGGTGTCAAGCCCTCTGAGTGTATTTATAGCATGAAATACCTCATAAAAATCCATCGTAGGTGGCTTGATACAAACTTTTGGTCCCTAGAGCACCAAAAAAAACTGCAGGAATGTCTGATTCTGCTTAGGAGAATTTAAATTAAAAAGAATAAAGTGTCACAAAAAGGTGCAGTTTAAGATTAACTAAGCAAAAGCCGTTTCCAGATCTCCATAGTGGCTGCTCGGACTCCCACTCATCATCAATAAGAAGAGCATACTACAAAGTGGTGACTATCAGTTGCAATCAGAAGAGACAATACAACGGCGTCCCTACACACATTCCACTTTTCTAATCACCTTTATTTAGAGACTCCATCTGGAGAGGTATTTATTTTTCCCAACTCCATTACAATTTTAGTTCATTGGGTTCTTTAGACCTCAAGTGGTGCGTGCCATAGTTGATGACACTTCCTTACGACCAGCAATACACGTAGTTTGTGCATTCGTCGCTACAACAAAAAAGTCAGGCACTTCAATATTTATTGCATCCAACACACACAAACTCACCCGACAAGCACACTTATGCACTTTCAAGCTGGCAATCTGTTGCTGGCTGCTTGTCTGGCAGCAAATAGGCAAATGTGCCAACTATGTTCCAACTATGGCGAATATTTCTTTGCCTACTTACTTTGCAGGAAGTGGCGGCGTATCGGCGTATATATAGTGTACACATAGCCATAGCTGCCGGTAGTAAAAGTCAAGCCAAGAAGCAGTGAGAGCAGAGCACTTTATTTTCGCTTCTCTGCTACCGTTCGGTGATGGTGTGCAGTGTGTTGGTTGAGTCGCTTTCGCCTTTGTAATCGTTCCGTTTGTTGTTATTGGTTGCTGGTCTAGTGTTAATGTCGAGCAGCTGGAAATTTTTTCATTTGCAGTGTGAACCGTAGTATTGTTGCGGCGAATATTTGTATAGCTGCAAATGTATGTACTTACTTACATATGTGTATAAAGGTTAGCAAATTCGTGTTTTTTAAATTTAGTATTAAAGTGCCCACCTCGCAGAAGGATCAGTGATGGGAAAAAAACTTGTTTTTTTTATAGAAGACTTTAAGGATGCTGAAAAAAATGCAGGAAAATTTCTGTTTAAATAAATTTTTATTATAAATTATTAAAATAGATTTTTATTGTAAATATATTTAAGTTACATTTTCCCTTTTCGATTAAAAGCTTTTTTTGAATAAATTTATGTGCAATTTTATTTAAATATTTTTTAATCTCCAAGTGAAACGTCTTCAAAACACCGTTGCATTTCTCTGCTTATATGTTCGAAACTCTTGTGGGTCGGTAGGAATTTATATTTGAAAACATTTGCGTAAGAAGATTTGTATATTATATATATGTATATATATATACTAGTTAATGACTCTCTGTATGCAAGTATATGAAAGTGAAAAGCAATTTATGCATGACCACAAGGCTGTTATCGTTGCATCCGGTTCCGGCTGGGCAAACATTCATTCAATTATTTACATACTTACGCACAAACAAAAATCTAACCAATTCATGCAAAGTGAATATGCAAATACAATAAATTTTTGCACAAAGTTCAATTGAGCATAAACGAATTATCCCAACCCAACTTTGTTTTGGAAATTCACCAACTTGCTCAGCCAAAACGACCACCAGCTTTAGGTATGGAATATTTTTTCTCTCTCCTTTTTTCCCCTTTTGCTCTCGACCAGATTGCCGGCTTTCAAGTGAAATTTTCGAATTCGACATTTAAGGTTCTATTTGCTTACATATTTAAATGTGTATATGCTTTAGTCTTACTTTGTTTTTGTTTTTGTTTTTATAGCAAGGGCGTAAAAGTGTTGAAAGTTTACAAATTCAATTCACACTGTAATTCGTATTTGTTTATATAGAGAATGATAGAGTGAAAGAGATAGCGCATGGAGCAAGACCTAAACTCTCACGTAAACACAAACCAAGTTGTGAGCTGTTGATCCAAGTAACCAAGCCAATAACTCTGGACAAAAGGTCCTTAAAGCTCAACAGTCAAGTTAATGGTAATTTTCAAGTTTTTGTTGTGTTGCTTTGTTTACTCTTACACATTTGATAAATACATATAGCATTATGTGGCTAAAACCCCAAACATGTTGATGTTTAATAAGTCATTAGTGCAACATATGCTGCCACTGCCCTTTTTGCTTTGCTGATTTTTCTGATTATGCACAGAAGCGCAATTTGTAAGGGATATAAAAAAATTGAATAGTCTAAATGATAGTAGATAATAAAATAAAAAATCACAAAATGCAATAAAATAAAAGTTGTAAAATAATTAAATTAAATGAAATAAAGTAAATTTAAATTCAATCAAAGAAAATTAATTAAAATAAAGTAAAATTTAGTTAAATAAAGTAAAGTAATAAAAATAAAATAAACAAAATAAAAAATAAAAAAATAAAAAATAAAAAATAAAATAAAATAAAAAAATTTATAATAATAATATAATATATAATACGCTAAAATAAAATGAAAAAAAAAAATAATTTAAATAAAAAAAAACAACCAAAATAAATACATATATATAAATAAATAAAATAATATAATATACGATATGACAAACTCAAATCAAATAAAATGACACAAAATATTATACAATATATTAAAGATATATGAATTAAATTTTATCAATTTAAATAAAATAATAAAATTGATATAATTTAATTAAAATAACTTAAAATAAAATTAATCTAAGCTGAAGAAATTGATAATTAAAATAATTTAAAAAAAATATCGAGTAAAATAAATAAATCATTGTTTTTGAAATAAAATAATAAAAATAAAATAAAATAAAATAAAATAAAATAAAATAAAATAAAATAAAATAAAATAAAATAAAATAAAATAAAATAAAATAAATAAAATAAAATAAAATAAAATGAAATAAAATTAATTCAAATTCAAATAAAATAGTGTAAATTTAACCTAAATTAAAGGAATTCAAATAAAAGAGAATTAAAATAAATTAATGAAAACTATATTATATTAAAAATAATTAAATAAAATAAGAAAGAAGAAAAATAAAATTAATGCAAGTTGAAGAAAATTAAATTAAATTAAATTATTTAATATAAATAATTAAAACACACAATGATAAACTGAAATAAAAATACAAACTAAAATGGAGTAAAATATGAAATAAAATAAAATAAAGTAATATAAAATCAATTAATGAAAATAAAAAATCTAGAATAAAATAAAATTAAATTATTTAAATAAAAAATTTATTAAAATGAAATAATATTGTATACATTAAAATAAAGTAAAATAAAATAGTCAGATAAAGAAAGTTCAATTAAATAAAACATTTAAATAAAATAAATAATTAAGTTAAATAAAATAACATTAAATATAATTTAATTTAATTAAACATTGATCAAGTGAAAGCGGCACACATGTAGTTTAATGCGATAACCTTTGGCTCATGCCCTGGGCATTCCAATTTCGAATCCAATTTGAAAAGAGTGTCTAAAAAAATGAGTTTGACGAGGAAAAGTGAAGGCTTTTGATGGCTTTTGTCCAAACTTTTGTTGTATAATAATTTTTTCACTATCCCAAAAACAAATGGTTTGAGACAGCTCCATAAAAAAAATAAATTAAAAAAATTTAATTAATAAAAATAAAATAACATAAGATAAAGTTAAATAATATTAAATTAAATTAAGTAAATTAGTATACCGTAAAATGAAATAAAAAATAAAAATAAAACGAACTAAAATACTAATAAAAAAAATTAAGTTAAATTAAATTAGTTATATTGTATATATAAAGTAAAATTGAATAAAAAAATGAAAAAAAAAATTAAAATATATTAATAAAATTAAGCTGTATTAAGTAAATAACTGTAAAGTATTATTAAATGAAATTAAGTTAAAATAAGTAAATTAAAATAAAGTAAAATGGAATTAAAAATGGAAAAAAATTAAAATGAAAAAAATTAAATTAAATTAATTAAAATAAAATGAATTAAAATTAAAAAATAAAATAAAATGAAGTAAAGTATTATTAAATAAAATCAATTTAAATTAATGTAAAGTATTATGAAATAAAACTAAATTAAATTGAGTAAATTAATATAAAGTAAAATGGAATTAAAAATGGAAATAAATTGGTGTAAAAAAATAATAATAATAATAAGATGAATGAAAAAAATCAAATGAAATGTAAAAAAGGGAAAGCAAATAATATAAAAATTAAAAAACTAAATGTTGTATAGAAATAATGTTTTCTTTTTTTATTTAATTTTATTGAATTTTCTTTTGCTTGTTATCTCAACTTTTGAAACATTTTTTGCGACACCAGACAAATGTAGAAATTAACTTTTTTGTATAATATTTTGTAATGTATTATATAATTATAATAGATAAGTAAATATTAAGAGGTATTTTGATAACAAATTTTAAACCTTGCCCTTCCATTTAACAAATTGTAGAGCTCATTCAAATAAATCAAAAAATTATAAAATTCGGCAAAATAATTGATTTATTGAATTTTAATGGTATTTGCTTTTATTTATGGTTTTCAACATCTTGCACCATAGTAGCCTGCAAATATTCAGTTCTTATATATATGTATATGTCACTGATAATGCCAACGCTTGTTGAATGCAGTTTTAAGCACTTAATGTGTCTGCTTGGTGATTCGCACCATACTCTATTGGGGGCGTTTGTGGGTGTATGTACATGTGTGTTCGATAATTAATAGGTAACGTCTAACCATTGAATATGCATGTAAGTCACGCATTTCCAGGCGCCCATTTAGGGCAACACCTGCGATTGCTATGGTCGCCTCACAACTTTTTCTAATTTTTCTTTTACTTTCACCACACACATACTCACCTATATAGTACTTCCGATTTTATTCTTTGCTTCTATTTAAATACATGTGGATATTTAATGGGCATATGGATATATGTATGTATAAGTAAATATTTATTACCCTACCAAAGTATAAACATATTAATTTATACGAGTTGGTCATATAAATTTATTAGTCCTTTTGAAATGGAAGAGTTGGCATTAATCGAGTAACAGTGAAGGTAAATGAGAGAAGCGAAAGCATGCAAAGAATGAAATGCATTTAATGACATAAAAATCTAGTCTTCATAAATGAAATACAGTAGATATTTGTTAGTTAAGAACTCGAAAACAACTAAAACTGCGAATTATTGAGTGTTAACTTCGCCATTGGTTAGTGAGCATGAAACAGCAATATCTTCATCCAATGGAACGAAGACAGGGAAACTGAAACCACTGATTCCACTAGACGTTCTATTGCTGGTGTGTCATATTGGTAGATTTTCCTCATCTTGTTTTATGGAATCGTATCCTCGATGCAGTTAAGAATTTTAGGTCAGTTTCAAAACTGTCTCGGGCATTATAGTTTTCAATCAAAGTCTTTAGTTTACCATACCAATCTAAGTAAACTTCATCATTTACTCTTCCAATTTCCCCCAAATTTTCAAACACAACTCCATTTCTCTTTTTGAAACTTGTAAACCACTCTTCACTTACTGGAAATTACTTATAACAGGTCCAAGTAACTTTTTATTAACGAATTGTCGCGTGTTTAACGGTAATTTGTTCTAATAAACGCCACGTTCTTTTACGTAGCGACGGTTTTTTTGTTCGTATTAAGGCAGCATCTACTTTAGAGGCTTCAAAAAATGCATGTTTCTTAATCTTTTCTAAAACTATCTAAAATATGTCTTAAAATTTTTAGTAGCCAATACGACATTTAGTAGCTAGCGCAATTTTTAGTGGCCGAGTAGAACTTTGAAGCGTGTTTTCAGGAGCTCTCATTTTTACATGTCTTAGACGACGGTGCCGGTGTCAGCAAGAAAGTATATATATTTATGTACGATCGAAAAACATCGCAGTAATCTAGCTTCAGCATTAAATTATGTTCTATTTAAACTAAAATAGTTGGATAATAGAATTATTTAAACTATATTTTTTGCGACTTTTTTTTTTACAAAATTTAAAAAAAATTAAATTTTCCAACTTTATGATTGCTTTTTTTTATGAAAAATAAAAAATAA